GCTTCATAAGAAATATTAAAAGAAGTCCCTCAGAGGTTTAAAGGAAGTGACACCAGATGGAAACTAGAATGCAGAGGAAGAAATAAAGAGCACCAGAAACAGTAAATATACGAGTTAATATAAAAGACTCTATAAATACATTTTTCTCTCTTAACTTCTTTAAAAGACATAATACTATATAAAGCGATAATTATGACACTGAATCATTAGGTTTTATAACATATACAGATATAACATATATGACAAAAATAGCAGGAAGGAGGGAGAGGGAACAGAGCTATACTGGAGAAGTGTTTTTCTATTTTACCAGAATTAGGTTAATATTAATTTGAAGTAGCCTGTGATGAGTTGAGACACATACTGTGATCCCTAGAGACAAAATTAAGAAGAATTTTTGAAAAAAATCAGCAGAGGAATTAAAATAAAATAGTACACTAAAAATACTCAACACAAAAGAAGTCAGTGCACGTTGGAAGGCCGAGGTGAATGCAAAGTCTGAGCCCGCAGGTTCAAGACCAGCCTGGGCAACTGGTGAGACCTCATCTCTACAATAAATCAAAAAATTAGCCGGGCGTGGTAGCACACACCCGTAGTTCCAGCTACTTGGAAGGCTGAGGCAGAAGGATCGCCGGAGCCCAGCAGGTCGAGGCTGTGGTGGCCGGGAGCGGCCACTGCACTCCAGTCTAAGCGACAGAGTGAGACTCCAACTCAAAACAAAAAAACGACAGAGTGAGACTCCAACAAAAAAACCCCAAAAAACAGAGACAAAAGTCTTAAAAAGTATTAGCAAACCAAATTCAGCAACACATAAAAGCATTATACACTATGGCCAAGCAGAAGAACGCAAAGTTGAATTGATGACTGTAATACACCATATTAAGAGAACGAGGGACAACCTCCCCATGACAACCACACTAGATGCAGAAGTAGTATCTGAGAAAACCCAACACCCATTCATCACGAAGCTTCTCAAAACTGGGAACAGAAGACTTTCTCAATTTGGTAAAGGCATCAATGAAAACGCCCAATGTTTAGCTACAAAAACATTTAGAGAAAATCACTTTGTGCTCAAAGTTTAAAAGAAAAAAGAAAAGAAAAACTTCCTGCTGGGTACAAGACATGGAACAAAGTTACAGCAGAAAAATATGAAACATTTCATAAATCGGGAATGTAACGGAAGTAGGTGAATTAAAAATTATGTTTCAAGGTAAAAGAAAACCCAGTTAAAATGACATCTAATGGTGAAAGGCTGAATACATTCCTCTGAGAAAAAATGTTTACTCTTGCTGCTTCTATTCAGAACTGTAGAAGTTCAGTACAGTACATCTTTCACTCTTGATTTCTACAATGAAAATTACAAAATATAGCTGAGAAAAATTAAATACCTAGGCTGGGCATGGTGGCT